AGTTATGACCATATTGTATAGAACTGTGGTTAATTATTTCATTGTTAAGGTCACAGTTACATGTTTGAGGTCACAGATCACAGTCACAAAACAATAAAAACATGTCACGGATTAATATTAACAGGTCACATGTTGTTTTGTAGAGTCACGGTTCGGAGCAGTCGCTGGAGTTAGAACAATTGCCCGAATCGGAGAAGTCGCCGGAATAAATCGACGACGGAACGGCCACCGGAATAGTCATCGGAATCAGAGCAGTCATCAGAACGGTCGTCGGAATAGTAGTCGGAACGGTATTCGAAATCGGAGCAGTTGTCGAAATAGTCGCCAGAACGGTTACTGGAATCGTAGTCGCCGAAACGGTCGCCGGAGCAACAGTGGTGGTGGAGGTGAGGTGGGTTAATTATATATGTGTGTGTGTGTGTGTGTGTGTGTGTGTGTGTGTGCGCTTCATCACAGTTTTACGAATTTGTAGCTCCCTTAATTTGTATAGAGAATTGCTGACATGGAGGATTAGGGAATCCAGCTGAATGGTAGGAAACTTCTATGCTTCCTCTAGAATTTCCTCTCAACGTGCAACCTCATACAAGCTTATAACAAGCCTCGTATATTGCTAATCAAAGATTCATCAAATTTTCCTTTGCGGTCCTTGAATTTTTTGAACATTATATGTTACAACCCAAATAGAATATTAAATGTGCCCTTAAAAAGATATTGCGCAAGGTGCGTTCTTACTTTTAGGTACAAATAAATTTTCACTAGCATATTTTGTGTGTGCACGTTGATGTATCACAATTTTGTTGTACACTCAACCAGTTATTCTTACCACACGAGACACAATATACTAGTAATCAAAATCGAAGAGCAATGGTACGAATATCATTGTCATGTTTACCATTGATTTTCATTTTTTAAGTGTCACATATGTATTTTAGAGATTTTTCAATTTCGGTTCCAAAATGGTAACCAACTCCAAGATGTTGGATTGCATCGATGAGATCTAATTTATGCAAAGAGTCATATGGAGTAGGTGCTAGCAACTTCTTCACTTCTTTTGAGCTTTCACGTTCTTGCTCTTCATGGGACAATATAATCCATGTTAGAGTACGGTGACCCAAAATCTGTTTTGACGTCTCGTAATCATCTTTGATATGGTGAATTTCTCCTCCTTTGCCTGTAGTTTTTTTTCATCTTGGATTTTTACGTAAATCTTGTTTTCTTTTTCTTTTTATATTATCTATCCTCATTTTTGCGTAACAACTCATATATCCAAGTGGAAAGGTGTAACATGTTAATACGAAAATCTTGCATTATGTTGTAGCAAAAACAAAATTTTCGAAGAAATCGACATTATAAAAATGGGAAAAAGTGCAATTGTACGATGTTGAGAACCCTGTTTGACAGCCATTTTTGGGAGGAATGAGTTAGTACATTAATGAGTGGTTAAAAAGTAAGAAAAAAAAGTTTTGGGTTTACATTACGAATATTTTACTGTGAGGGTATCGTTGAAAATGAGTATGAGAAAAAAGAGTTTTGAAATAATGATTATCAAATAGGGGCATAAATACACTTGCAATATAATTATACAAGTGAAATGAATCAAATTGACCTCGAATAGAATTTTAATGACTTTTGCGCCAAAAATTAAAATTTAATTTTATTATAATATCTAGTTTTAGTAATTTTCTTCGGCTTGTTATTTAAACTCATCGTTTAATTATTTTTTCAATATAAAAGATATTTTACGAAGTTTGCCGTGAATATTTCAAAATGGTACCAAGAATCTACCTCAACGACTGAAGAATATAATCGAGAAATAATATAAAGAAAGTAATGTAGAATAGAAATTAAATAATAACAAACAATTAGTCCGAAATACGTATTGCGAAGTTTTCAATGAGTGCTTCTACACGGTACCAAGAACAGACTGCCAATGAAAAATTTCTGGTTCCGTCATTGTACAAATTAAACATGAATGAATGAAGCCATACAAGTGACTTACAATTGATCACTAAACTGACTTGCAACAAAATTTGTGGCTCCGCCATTGTGCACATAACAAGTTAACCTTGCAATGTCGTTTAGCTCGTTTTGGAGAACATATTACAGTTGCTTGTCGGAAGCAGGCAGCTTACAGCTGCTTGCCTGCTTGCTGCTTCAGGCACGCGGCTTGAAGCTGACAGCTACAAGCACCACACAATAAAAAATTTAAAAAACATTACTGAGCAGCTATGTAAGGCTCGAGCCGAGCCTCAATTTTTCAGTCGAGCTTTGACTCGGCTCAGACCATTTTGACCCGAGCCGTTTTTTACTCGGGCAGCACCCAAGCTGGTTCAGCATAACTCGTTTATATCCCTAATATAACGTGCACAACCTTGTTGGTTGTCCTGTTTGTCAAGGCTTTCATGGTATGTATCATGTATTTTTTGAAGTTTTTTAATTTCATTTTTGAAAGGGTAATTAGCAGAAATGGTCCCCAACGTTTATGCTATTTGCTAAAATGGTCCCTATCGTTTTAAAATTGGTATTTATACCCTTATTTCAAACGTTTCTTGCGGAATTAGTCATTCCATTCATAAACCGCTAAACATCCGTTAAAACCTTTTGATAATTTGCAGAAATGGTTTTATTTCATCGTTAAGGTCACAGTTACATGTTTGAGGTCACAGATCACAGTCACAAGTTAATTATAGGTCACAAAACAATATAAATGGGTCACAGATCAATATTAACAGGTCACATGTTGTTTTGCAGAGTCACGGTTCGGAGCAGTCGCTGGAGTTGGAACAATTGTCGGAATCGAAGAAGTCGCTGGAATAAATCGAAGGCGGAACGGTCACCGGAATAGTCATCGGAATCAGAGTTGTCGCCAGAACGATCGTCGGAATAGTAGTCGGAACGGTATTCGAAATCAGAGCAGTTGCCGAAATAGCCGCCAGAATGGTCACTGGAATCGTAGTCGCCGAAACGATCGCCAGAACAACAGTGGTGGTGGAGGTGAGGTGGGTTAATTATATATGTGTGTGTGTGTGTGTGTGTGTGTGTGTGTACTTAAAGTAGGATTTATGAATTTTTTCCTTAAATTAGGCTACTTCAAATGGCCCAAATAGGTAATCGGATTGGTTTGAATAATTGTGGTGTCGATATACTACTTCAGTGATCGGCCGAAGCCTATGAAGTATAATCCAAAAAAGAGTTTGACATCATCGCTCGGGATTTATTGAGTATCAAAAAATCCAACAGAAACGAACGAACAACGTGATAAAAATGGGAAAAGAAATTAATTCGAGCCTGCCTAAACCTTTTCTATTTTGGTGATTCCCACTCTTCCTCGATTTTGACATAAACATCTAATGGAGCTTCGTAGTAATGCTGAATGTATTGCGGCAGCTGATCTCTAAATAAATAAACTTTTTTTAAAATAAATAAATAAATAAGTATGATATGAGATATCAAGATAAAGAGATGCACCGAAATAATTTACCTTTCATATGCATAACATTAGTTGAAATGAAGAGAAAAATTGGCGTTTCACTAAACACGCCAACCTTGTAATTGGGTCAGTTTGGCAGGCATCTACTTCTTTTAGAAGAGCTTCTGGAAGAAATTACCTCTAAAAAAATAAATTTTCACTAGCATATTTTGTGTGTGCGCGTTGCTGTCACAATTTCGTTGTACACTCAACCAGTTATTCTTACCACACGAGACACAATATACTAGTAATCAAAATCGAAGAGCAATGGTACGAATATCATTGTCATGTTTACCATGATTTTCATTTTTTAAGTGTCACATAGGTATTTTAGAGATTTTCAATTTCGGTTCCAAAATGGTAACCAACTCCAAGATGTTGGATTGCATCGATAAGATCTAATTTATGCAAAGAATCATATGGAGTATGTGCTAGCAACTTCTTCACTTCTTTTGAGCTTTCACGTTCTTGCTCTCCATGGGACAATATAATCCATGTTAGAGTACAGTGACCCAAAATCTGTTTTGACGTCTCGTAATCATCTTTGATATGGTGAATTTCTCCTCCTTTGCCCGTAGTTTTTTTTCATCTTGGATTTTTACGTAAATCTTGTTTTCTTTTTCTTTTTATATTATCTATCCTCATTTTTGCGTAACAACTCATATATCCAAGTGGAAGGGTGTAACATGTTAATACGAAAATCTTGCAATATGTTGTAGCAAAAACAAAATTTTCGAAGAAAGAGACATTATAAAAATGGGAAAAAAGTGCAATTGTACGATGTTGAGAACCCTGTTTGACAGCCATTTTTGGGAGGAATGAGTTAGTATATTTTTTGAAAAATGCGTGGTTAAAAAGTAAGAAAAAAAGTTTTGGGTTTACATTACGAATATTTTATTGTGAGAGGGTATGGTTGAAAATGATTATGAGAAAAAAGAGTTTTGAAAGAATGATTATCAAATAGGGGCATAAATACACTTGCAATATAATTATACAGGTGAAATGAATCAAATTGACCTCGAATAGAATTTTAATGACTTTTGCGCCAAAAATTAAAATTTAATTTTATTATAATATCGAGTTTTAGTAATTTTCTTCGGCTTGTTATTTAAACTCGTCGTTTAATTATTTTTTCAATATAAAAGATATTTTACGAAGTTTGCCGTGAATATTTCAAAATGGTACCAAGAATCTACCTCAACGACTGAAGAACATAATCGAGAAATAATATAAAGAAAGTAATGTAGAATAGAAATTAAATAATAACAAACAATTAGTCCGAAATACGTATTGCCAAGTTTTCAATGAGTGCTTCTACACGGTACCAAGAACAGACTGCCAATGAAAAATTTCTGGTTGTACAAATTAGACATGAATGAATGAAGCCCTACAAGTGACTTACAATTGATCACTAAACTGACTTGCAACAAAATTTGTGGCTCCGCCATTGTGCACATAACAAGTTAACCTTGCAATGTCATTTAGCTCCTTTTGGAGAACATATTACAGTTGCTTGTCGGAAGCAGGCAGCTTACAGCTGCTTGCCTGCTTGCTGCTTCAGGCACGCGGCTTCAAGCTGACAGCTACAAGCACCACACAATAAAAAATTCCATAGGGACCATTTCTGCAAATTACCACAAAGTTCTAACAGATGTTTAACGGTTCATGGATGGAAGGACNTCGTCCACTAGATACAATAACAAATTCAGGACCAGATTACAAGCCAAACCAATATGTTTAAAAAAAAAATTATACATGAATTTTCTTTTATTACACTAAAAAAAATGAAGTTGACTGGGGGATTGGACTTGACCGAGCTACGAGCCGACCAATCCCCCCTACATCCAAAATATATAAACGATTTTTCTTATTTTTTGTCTCTATTTTGTGGGATTATTATGGGAAGTTAAACGAAGTCGAAATATAATATTTTTAATACCATTTCGAAATGCTTATGACCTAGTTTTTCTCATCTCTAACAGCGTGCGAAACGACCAACCGTAGCGAAAGTTACCACTCGTCGAAGCAGGCCGTTCCAAAATTATATTAAATTATATTCCATAGAGACAATTTCTGCAAATTACCAAAATGTTCTAACGGATGTTTAACGGTTTATCGATGAAAGGACCAATTCCGCAAGAAACGTTTGAAATAAGGGTACAAATGATAATTTTAAAACGATAAGAACCATTTTAGCAAAAAGTGTAAACGTTGGGGACCATTTTTGCTAATTACCCTTTTTGAAATGATAACCTAAACGACACCGAGACGTTGAATTATGTCAATGAGGTATCATTTTTGCAGCAAATTATCTGATGCCTTTGTTTGGTCCACATTAATATTTTCATTCTTATTCTACTCATTTTCAACCACACATTCTTCAATAAAATAATATTTTTCATCACATCAATAACTTTTCATTTTTTTAAACCACATATTCCTCATCCATCACATCAGCAAAATGCATTCTTCTACCCAAAATGTGCACCAAACGGGGTAGTCGCAAATAGATTCTTAATCACGTCAGCACATGCAAACACAAATTTATGAGTTCAAGAGGGTCCCTTAAAAAAAAAAAAAAAAATCGATTGGATTAAATTAAGAGTCAGAGAACAAACGGCATTACAAAAGTGAATATCAACTCAACGTTGAATAGCCAGGGCAGTAGCAAAATCAGCCAGATTGTGGTCACTTTATTTCCAGCTCGTGGGAATAAAGTGAAAAGAGCCACATCGACATCATGAAGTAGTGCTTTCAGCTCACATACTGATACAGTAATAAATGGTGATGAGAATGAAAATCCAGACAACCTGAATAACAAGCCGAGATATTTAAGCATACAGTACTTTTAGCAACATTAGTCTACTGAGTTTCTTTCCTTTCCATGTACGGTAGAAAGCCGTAAGCTACACACCTGCCAATAGTCTCGTGTATTATATCTTTAATTCCATACTTGTAAGCGAATCCCAAGTCTTTTATCTTTTTCGAAGATATCTCAGACGGGATTGAATCAAGTTCTTCCCCGTGAAGCCTGTAACATGAAAAACAAAAAATTGCATCAAAAAAAGGAGGAAGAAGATGATGATGAATTTGGAATCTTCGAATACTTGGATATTTATAACTGCGGAATTGAAAGAATGGCAACCTTTGTATGCTAAGAGAAGGGTACTCTAAACTAAGGTGCTCGACAATCTCGGACATTAAGCAACTTTGAGTACAGCATATATATCGAGCTTCTGCTTCAGCATGTTCCATGAGAAATGTGTGAGCACTGCATATGTCTTCAATATGAACTAAAGCAATCGATCCCATTCTCGAGTTCACAGCAGCTAATATTGGCAGTACACTAGGATCGCCTAAAGGAACCAAACCGAATTGTTAAGCCTCTCTAGGAAACTAACACCTCAGAACAAATGACTTTAGATTATCTCTGTCCAATTTGCAATAGCAAAGTGAAAAAAATAATAAAATTAGAATATTATGAAATTTGCATGAAATTACAATTCCTTGTATATTCTACGAGAAGCATATTACACTACGTGTATATTGAGCGAATTATTGAAGTCTCTTATTGACAATTCATCTTATTTTGTACCGTCGATAAATAGAAAATAAAATGTACATGCAATGGATAGGAAAAATAACCTGTTATTGGGGACAAAAGAACTTGGATGCTAACTGGAACAGTTGGGGTGAGGAATGGGCCAGCTACGGTGGGTGTTATCACTGATATCAGATGGATGCCATTTTCATTTGAAAATTGAAATGCTGCCTCTTCTGTCAAAAGCTTTGACAGTACATATACCTACAACAGATTTTTTTTTTATCAAATTTAGTGCACCTATACTAAAAAGAAATAGCTCATAGCACAACATTTGAAGATGAAACTAAACCAAGTATGAAAGTATACCCAGCCACTTGGTTTAGTTTCTAGGACTCGTTGAATAGGTATCTGGCAAGATTCGTCAACTATTGGAACCCATCTCCCAGAGTTGTCTTTGGAAGTCATCGTGCTGATTGATGACGTGAAAACCACCCTTTTAACAGAAGATGTTTTCGAGCAAGATTTGAGAACATTTAGTGTTCCTTTGATTGCTGGATCTACGATGTGCGTTTGAACATAGCGATCTTCAAGTAGAAACAAGCCGACAAAACTTAGGTTTTGATCTCCATAGCTTAAACTAAGATATAATGCAAAATATTACCAACACTTTCTGAAGCTGGAGCCCCAAATTCCATTGATGCCGCAACATGAAATACACCGTCACAGCCTTTCACTGCTTCATCGAAGCTTCCATCTTCATGTAGATCAGCCCTGAAGAGTCTCAACTGGTCCTTGCTTTCCCATTGATTCAATAATTGAAATGCTTTCTCTGGAATGTATGAAAATAAGATGGTAGATATATATTTAGTCATGGTACTAAACATAAAATTCATGAATTGAACTAAGGTTTTGTTATGGGTTTCTAAATGGAATGGAATGCCTTTATGACACAGCTTTGTTGTGCTTCAAAAGAAGACGATTCCTCTGCTCAGCTTAACTCTTATATTTCTAAACTAAACAAACATAGTTTTAGGCCAAGTTTCATCTGCTCAGCTTAACTCTTATATGGCCAATTGACTTTTTTTTTTTTTACACAATTAAACACTTCCATGGAATCTGTTTGAAGAAAAATCCCTATTGCGAAAGTAGAAATTCAATTATACTTCTACATAAATCTACTTAATTGCCTGGACAAATACAGGAAAGAAGTGGAAATTTCAGCCATAAGTCAACCTGACTAACTTTCATCTTTCAGGCAAATCTTTGCCATATGGGCCAAAGTAATGATTTTAAGCTGATTCGACTCAATTAACAACCCCTGACAAGTAAAATAGACTTTCTAAATTAAGTTCTAGATATAGGGACTAGGATCTAATTCAATAAACTGCTCTTTCATTACATGCTGCTATCCTTGATTTGGTAATGTGAGAGTACTGCTAAATCATAGTTAATTGAATTACCTATTATTCAATGAATTATTGATTTCCATCTCCTTCACTTATTTGAGTGAAATTACTGCAGTAAATGCAATTACCATAAATGGATTTGTTTTCGATCAAGAATAGCAGTGAAAAGAGTGAAGAATCGCTGACCGGGATTGCGGGCAGTGGCATGTACTCTATAACCCTTTCGTAGGAGACACTTCACGAGCCACGACCCTATGTAACCTGTTGCTCCGGTGACGCAGTATGTCGGCCGGCCGCCACCTCCCCCTCTGCTGCAACTTTCCATTTAAAGAAATTAAATTGTTTTCCTTTTCTTGAAAATAGAAAGCGAAATTTCGGATTCTTTTGTACTAGTACCCGCCTACGAAAGAGTTGATGATGGTTACTTGTAGAAGTGTGAGGTGGGACAGTCGCTCTTTGACTTCATTAGCCGAGTCAAACTGATTTGATTCGCATTCGAGGAGAGGAGCACAGTGGCTCCCGTACTAACTCATCAATAGTTCCCTAGCTCGCTCATGTTTTTGACACATTCAAAAAAAAAATGTGGCTCATCCCTTGAGCCATACTTCGAGTTGACTCGCATGATGAGCTGAGCACAACGATTGCTCGACTCATTTAACACAAAATTAGGATAATTAACACATAATGTCTCAACTTTTCACTGTTATTATGGAAAACATCATTACCTTTCATTTTTTTACATTTTTACTCTTATTTCCACCTTTCATTGCCCAAAATATCATTTTCAACCATTTTTTCAATTAAAAATTGTGAAATAACAAATATGTCCTTCTTTGTAAATAAAACAAAAGGAAAATGAAAAAATTAATTGCAATCATAGTCCCAATTTTTTTGAAAAGCGCAAATGAATCTCAAATATATCATTAAAATGGTAATTAGCACATAATGTCCTTACATTTCACTATTATTGCAAAAAAGTCCCTACCTTTTATTTTTTAAACATTTTCACCCTTAATTACACATTTAATTACGAAACCATTATTTCTATCGATTTTCATTCAATTTCTCAATAAAAAAACTATGAAATAACGAATATACTATTCTATTTAAATAAAAAGCTAAAAAATTAATTGTAACAATAGTCTCGAATTTTTTAAAAAGTGCAAACGAGTTCCAAATAAATTATTAAAGAATTATAAATTAAAAGTATTTTTTTTATTTAAATATGAAGATATATTCATTACTTCACAATTTTTTATTGAAAAATTGGATGAATGATGGTTTGCAGAATCAAATGTGTAATTGAGGGTGAAAATGTTAAAAAAAATAAAAGGTAAGGAAGTTTTTCGTAATACCGATAAAAGATATGGATATTATGTACTAATTACTCTTTTAATAATTTATTTGTGACTTATTTGTGCTTTTTTAAAAAAAAAATTAGAACTATGATTGTAATTAATTTTTTCTCTTTTTCTTTTTATTTTGTTTAAAGAAAAGGGTATATTCGTCATTTCATAATTTTTTAATTGAGAAAATAGGTGAAAATGACTTTTTTGTACAATGAAAGGTGGAAATAAAAGTGAAAATGTCAAAAACAAAAAAAAAGATATGGAAGTTTTCCACAATAAAAATGAAAAGTGCTTACGTTATCTGCTAATTACCTCCACAAAATCACTCGACTCTTGTCTTCTTTTAGCAGATTTAAGCTCAAGTTGCTTATGTAAGAAACAGAAATTAGTTTTTGTTAGGGAAAATTGCAGTCTTGGTACCGAACATTTCATTTAGCTGCAAATTTTGTTCAAACATTTTATTTGTGTCACTCACGATACCAAACATTTAAAAAACTCACACCTAGAGTCCAAGTTGACAGAAACCATCATTTTGACCGTTAGTTAACCAAAAATTAAAGGCCGACTAATTGTTGACTAATTTTCAAAGGGCAATTGAGTAACTTTACATTTTTTTTCAAATGAGTTGGGTTGGATTGGGTGAGTGGAGAAGATTATAGGATTTTTTTGGTTTTTTGATTTAATTATTTTATTTTAGTTTTTTTTATATGAAAAAAATATAAAATTTTCCATTTACTCTTTAAAAATTAGCCAACAATTGATCAGACCTTTAATTTTTTGTCAACTAACGATTTTTATCAATTTAGACTCCGGGTGCAAGTAGATTTTATACCGTTGATAACACAAATGAAAGGTTTAGCAAAATTTGCAACTAAATAAAAGATTTGGTACCATGACTGCAATTTTCCCTTTTTGTTATGTACTTCAATTTTCGTCCCATTTACCAAAAAATAAAAGATGTGACGTGAGATGACATGAGCAAAATAACTATAATATTTCATCACTAAACTTTCAGTAGAATCTTAAATTGATCGCTCGACTTTAAATTATTTCAATTTGGTCATTCAACTTATTTTGTTCATGTCACGTCACATGCAAGGGCTAATGCTGCACCAGAATTCCATTAGTTATACTTACCAATATTGTTTCACATTCTTCAGGAATAATTCACTGAAGTACCATCCTAATATTTCCTCGCAATCTTAAATCAACCAAGTGGACAAAAAGGGAATGTTGAAGCATATACAATATTACAAGAAAAGGGAACTAAATTTCAGTATTCAAAAGAATATAATGGAAGGAGATTCAAGAATTGGTCTCCTAAGTAGCAGCTACTTCTGCGGTATTCTCCTTTTTCTCTTTGACCGCTCGCTTCCAGTTCTCTGCACTGTCAATAATTTCTCCAGTCTTTATGAGGTAACGAACATGTTTCCCATTTTCTAGGGTCTTATGACCAACTCGGCTAGCCACATTTTGCTCTTTAGAGTACAGCATTACGTTTGAGCTATGGATAGGCGCCTCTATCTGAAATAAAATGATAATAAGGAAAGCTCTAACTTCATGGATGAATGATCATTCTTAATATGCTCTACAAAGAGATGGACAAAACAAAATTGTAAGTTTACAAGAAATTAGAGACGAGCCAATTACCTTGATTATTTGCCCAGGTTCTCCCTCTTCCCTGCTCTTCACATGCTTCGTCTTCAAGTTAATTTCTTTTATTACTATGGTGCTGTTATGCTTGATAACCCTCGTAACCTCTCCGGTTTTACCTTTGTCATTTCCAGAGATGACTTTTACGGTGTCTCCAACTTTAACATGCATTTTGTGGAGAACTGGCAGACTGTTTGGCTTGCACTCTTTCCTCTCCCATCGCTTAAGCTGCAGAGAAATTTCAGGAAAAAATTACATGTAAACATAAATATTATTACCTGTGATTGCTATGAATCAACAAACAGAAATTTTAACTTCTTTTTAGTACTTGCCCCCTTTCTTTCTGACCTAAAAGTATTTAGGTATACCTTCCCGTAGCAGGTCATCTAATGGAAGCAGCTCACAACCAAAAAATGCAAATCATTTAAATCAATTATCTTCATTAGGCCCCAACTAATTTCAAGAAGTGTTATTTCCTCTATCTGATATCAAATGATAGAACAGGAGATGTCCATTAGAGAGGCAGTTCCAATACAAGATCGTGCTTAAGGGATTTGGGCAGGAATAAAATAGAATCAACATAGGATATCTCATGTTGGTAGGACTGAATAATGACAAAAGGAAAATAGCCTACATCCTGATATAAAATCTCCTTAAACTAACAGTTTAACAAAATTGTACATAGACATTGTGGTTTAAATAAAGTTAATTTGAAGAAATGAGATTACCCACAGAAAACACTAATTAATCTTGAAAATTCACAATTTGATACCAAGATCCTCAATCAGATACTAAAATCAGAAATCTCCAATTATACATGCACCAATTATTTGAGAGACAACTATCCTTTATGGCTGAGTAAAAATGTCACTATTCCTCATAGTTTAGGAACGATAGACCCATGAGCAGGTGAAAAAGGACAAATCCCATATTATTGTAAATAGTATTACCTAAAAATGAATGTTTCTAAATCAAATTAATTATGCAAATGAGAGATTGAAAATGGACTCAGGGGAACATCAAAACCATTCTCAATCCTTTTCCCACTTACCCAAGGCCACCATAGTGTCTTTCCAAACGTGCTTATCATGTGCTTCATATCGTCAAAAGATTACAAAAACAAAAATAAGACTTTATAATTGAGTCCAGATAAAAACTTCGCAAACGCTTTAGTTTTCTTTTCAAGTCTAGAAAGCCATAAAAAATGAAATGCAAGTATGGCACTTCTTGATCCAGATGTTCATTCCTGTTCCTCTTCGACATATGCCTTTTACTTGTATTTATTCATGGGTGAGAGAAAATTACAATAAATAATAGATGAAAGCCAGATTAACAACCTTTGCTACAATAGAGCATGGCTTCTCCGTTAACTTAACCTGCACAGTACAGCAATAGACTATATCAAATGATGAACAAGAATTTTCCATAATTTGCATTTGAAGCACAGCAGACTTCAATAATAATATCCTTAATAAAAAAGAAAACACTCTTTTAAATACTATAATCCCCGCAAATAAAGGAAGGATAAAAAAAAAACCTCAGTAACAGGTAAGGTGAATTAAATAGTGAGAAAAGGAACTCCAAAAGGTTCAAAAAGCAATGTAAACAATTCATTTCATAACACTCGGCTAGAAGTTCTGCTTCAGAAAATGCAAAATGCAAATGCCAAGCAGGAAATCCTCATTCTTACAGAGGAAATTCAATAGTGGATTCACATACAAGGACAACCAAAAGTTATAACTGAGGGAAAATGAACTTCCCAACAGATACAGACGCGAATCTAACTCCGAGAAAATACCCTAAAAACTTGCGATATGAATAGTTCAGTGGATTAGCACTGTTAATGTTCGCACACTTCCTGGCATTTCTTTTAAAATAAAAACATTGAATAATTATCATAAAGCACCAAAATTATACAAAAACCAGCGATAATATAAATTGCAGGACGACCCATTTGAAAATTTCAAAGAATTTAGCATGGGTAAGAAAATTGAAGTTCGAATAAATAAATAAGTAAAACAGTGGGGAAAATTGAAGTGCATACCAGAGGCGTGTAGCAAGATGGAGAGAAGCGTTGGCCCAAGAAAGAATTGGAGAGGGAAAGTGATGTAAATGAGCTCTGCAGAGCCACCATTGTTGTCATCTTTCTTCTTCTCCTATTGAATTTTTCTTCTGTAACAAAAAGCTTCAGATTTTGGTTTGCTACAGCTACTACCACTCCCAAGTGAATTGAGAGAGACGAACTGGCTAATATGGAAGATAAAAGTTTGTATAAATTGGGATTTCCTCCGGTGACATTCTATCCGGTTTTCTCCCGTTTGAA